GTGAATTTGAAAATCTGAAAGTTAAGGTATATATATAGTGTCTTAACACCCTTCTAAAAGTGTACAAATGCATGAATAGATGCCATGGTTCAATTATGCATTCAAAATTTCATTTGGTTCATAAAATAGATGAAACATTATCACTGCTTCAGTGGTAATCGGTTACCGAAAAGGGTGTAATCAGTTACATCTGAAAGGGTGCCTTTAAAATTTTGAAATTTGAACATGTGTAACCGGTTACACCATTTGAAAATGGGTAATGAAAGTAACGTTGCAAGGGTGTAACTGGTTACAGGTTTTAAGGTAACTGATTACATGTCGTGGAGGCAGAATCCAAACTTAGTGAAAATGAAGGGTTTGACCAATTTTGATGCAATAAATCTTTTAATGCAATAAATTTTTTAATGCAATATGGCATGATTGTGCATGAACTTTTTGAGCACTTATATTTAACATAGAGAGAATGTATGCTTGTACCTTATAATGTCATGATTAATCCATTAAGAGCATCCAAAACTTGATCTTTAACACTTGAAAACTCGACTTTACTGCACTTGCTCTTGATATGAGTCTTGATCCATTATTTTTGGATAAGCACATTCTTGTAGTTTTCCTTCATCATAACAATCACTTGTAGAAGCTTGTCTTCACACAATACATAGTCTACAGGCCAAGAATCCATACTTATCTAACAACAAATTAACAGAGTATCTCAAATAGTAAGCATTAAGCATAAGAAACAACTGAATAAAATTATAATTCAAAGAATTCATACAAAGTCAAACCGCTATATAATGCCAACAAGATTGAATAAAGTTCACATAACACAACCTAACCTAGGATAATTTAGCTACATATAGTGAAGATTATAATAACAATTGAATAAATATGAATAGCACCTACATTCCCTTGAATGATTGACCTCCAATGACTTCCAATGCTCTCAAAATCACCATTTGATGCTGTAAAATTGTGCTCCCAGTGCCAAATTTCGTAACCCTTGTTAAAGTAAAGAAAATCCCCTTTTAAACCTGTCAAAATGGGTCAGAACGCGTCAGAAAAAGCCATCATCGTACGCATAATGAAAGAATCGCGTGCGATGAACCCTTTTCTTTTCTATCGCGCACGCGATGGTGCGCGTGATTATTCTAGTAACTGCGTGATTTTCACCCTTTTTCACCAGAATTTTCACAAAGTCTCATTCTTCCATACTTGGCTATTTTTCACTCATTCTTGAGTCTTTCTTCATTATTTTGGCTCATCTTTTACTCTTTTTACCCCAATTCTTTGACTGATATGTAATGATAGAATGTCGTCAGAGTATATGTAAGAAGAAATAATAGTAAGCTACTTATACTATGTCTTTATGTCAATGACTTGTTGATAACAGGTAGCTGTAAGAAAGAGACCGAAGACTTCAAAGGTGATCTTAGCAAGGATTTGAAATTATGATATGGAAAACATTTCATAATTCCATGTACAAGAGTAGTAGAGGCTTAATCATGCATTAAAGAAGATATGTAAGCGAGATACTCAAGAGATTTGAGATGGAAGACTACAATTCGGATTTGACACCCGCTGAACCAAGACTGGAATTGTTGAAAGAATCAGAGGAAGATGATGTTGAACCAACACAGTACAGAAGACTTATTGGGTCATTAAGATACCTTTTGTCACGCAAGGTATGATCTAACATACAATGTAGGTATGGTCGGTAGATTCATGCAAAAGCCAAATGTATCATATCTAGCAACGACGAAGAGGATACTAAGGCATCTGAAAGGAACTCTCAACTATGGAATTTTGTTTCCTACAGTCGATGAAGGAAAATAATGCAAACTAGTGGGTTACGTCGACTCAAGCTAGTGTAGGGATATTTTGGATACACAATCCACAACTAGTTATATGTTTATACTAGGTGGTGCACTAGTTGCTTGAAACTCAAGAAAAGAACCAGTAGTAGCATTGTCGCCGTGTGAAGCATAATACATAGTTGTTTATCTCTGTGAATGTCAAGCAACGTGGATGATCAATTTGGTCGAAGAAATTACAAGGAAGGATCATAGAGCAATTACCATGAAGATCGACAGCATGTCCGCTATCAATCTGGTGAAGAATCTGATAGCACATGGAAGAAGCAAGCACATCAAAATGAGGTTTCATTATCTTTGAGAGCAAGTAACAAAAGAGAAGTTGAACTTTTAATACTGCAGAACTGAGAATAAGATTGCAGGCATCATGACGAAAGGGTACATGTCAAAGTGTTCAAGAAATTAAGATCTATGATGAACACAGATAACTTAGACATAATGAACTAGATGGTGTATTTAGAATGTAATTCCTTGTGTCTAAGCATGTTGCTCGACAGAAGCAAGGAGTTGTTGAAATGTTTTGTGTGTCAAATTTGTATAACTGTCAAAATATAAGAGAAGTGTATCACGACAGAAATTTAGACTTAACTTTATTTTTACTTTTTTAGCTAAGTTAGTTAGGTTAGTTGGAGATTTCTTGGTGTGTAAGCAATCTCAACCTATAAATAGGGAGGTACCCTATCATTGTAAGAAGATAATAACATTGCATTTTGCAAAATAAAAAGGCAAAAGTTTCTCTGCAGATTTTACAACTCTTCTTTTTCCCCTTTGAAACCCTGATTTCTTTTCTTCCCCAATTCATTTTTTCTTTTCTTCTTCAATAGTCATTGTGCAATATAATTATCATGCAATCAAAGTTGGTTGATTCACTCGAGTGAAGAGTGGAGAAAAAAAAGGAGTAATCAATCAGAAAGATTGATTCTTTTTCATCCAGATTGATACTTCTCAATTGGTGCAAACCAAATCACCTTCATTTTCAATTTAAGATGCAAAATATATTCCCCTTGGAAATAAAGTAGCTTCCCATTAAGCGGGAAAAATCCTATTTGAAAGAAAAACAAATTATGCCATAAATTTAGAAATGACAAACTAAAAGGGTCGACTACCCAGCTAATCTTCATACTTAAATGTCGTTACTGTATAGCTAGATTTCATTGTAAAAAACCTATTACTAGATATTTCATGGGTAGAGCCCAGAAGTGTGAATTGTACAAGTTCACAATAACATTGATTTAATCAAGATTCAATGAAGGAAGGGGCTCTAATTCACACGCACGCACAATCAAGGATCGCAATTAAGGTGGCTAGGATTTTGAATAAAAAGCACAATCAAGGCAGCTAGGTTTTTCTACACGCAAGTGAAATCCTCTCGAACGAGAGCTCGTAATACCATTTTTAGAGCTAAATAATATATTTCAAGTAAGTTAAAATTACAAGCACTAATTGTTTTATATAAAACTAATCTAATCTAATGGGCCTAACTAATGGACTAAAAACCCAAGTATAAATTATTATTAATAATAGTAAAAATAACTTATCTACAACAATAATATTAGAATTAGATAACACACAAAGGGATGACATGTTATATATATATATATATATATATATATATATATATATATATATATATATATATATATATATATATATATATATATATATATATATATATATATATATATATATATATATATATATATATATATATATATATATATATATATATATATATATATATATATATATATATATATATATATATATATATGAAGTGAAAGGTGTCATTCTTATGCACATTGTGAGGAAAATGAAAATAAAATAGAAAAGAAAAAAAATTGAGAAGTAAAAAAGAACAATACAAGTATTTGGATTTTCACGTAAGTATTGAACAAAATAAAGTTGCTTATATATAGATACAATCATACATTGGCCTAAATTAGTGAAATAAATAGATTATGGAACAAATATTTTAAGCTTGAAAATCTTCACAAATAGGTGTAGAAAATGAAATTTCTGGTGGTGCCTCAAACAACAAGAGTTGATTAGTATTGTCACGCTGGGTCCATACTCCAGAGCCCAAAATGGTTTCCACGTCATAGCTGAGTGTTATCCTTCATGGCAGTCTTTGTCAACCTTTCTTAACAATCTCTCTTCTTTGGGACAGTTAATATATCAAAACTTCATTCTCAACACTTCTTCAATATCCCAACTCATTTCATTAGGCTGCTTCAAGGACTGAAATCACTGTCATGACAAGAACACCCATGATCTATGACATTACCTTTAAATGACATAAGGAAAGGAATATCTTAAGGAATAAGGTCACTTTCTCATCATGCCTTTAAAGGCTGCTTATTTGGAATTGTGAATCTGTGACCTAGTGTAAATTAGATGGATATTTCCTGAGCACCTACCACAATGACATAGAGAACAAGGTCCTTATGTAAATATTTGACCTAGTGGGAACTCTAAAACTGTGCCTAACATAGATAGGATCATCAAAGTGCACAAGGGCCTAACTCTTCTTATTTCTTGTGTTCCAAGCCATGTTCTTACTTCATATTTTCAATTCAGTACAACTCAATATTTGATTTAACTTACCTGTTAGGTGAGCAAAGGTCAAATAGCTCTGACAATTAAATTTGTATGTTGGTTAATGATATTAAAAAACTGGATTAATGCATAATATGAGAAAAGAAAATGTGTTCGAGTTAAGAAAATAAATAATATTTCTGACTAAAACATAAATAATTGGAATGGCTGACAACAATTTGGTGCATAGGGGACCATGTCCATTGATTAAAGTTATGTACAGGAAATAGTGTGGAAATATCATAGCAGATAAACATTGAAACACATCTAAAAAGGAAAGTGGTACAAATTTTGATAAGTCAGAAAGTGGTTTTCAATGTCAAATGCAGACTAAGCAAGTAGTTCAGAGATAAAGGTATCAAAATTACTCTTATTCAAAATTTGAGCAGTATTTATTTTCATCTTTGGCATGTCAAAGTTGGTAGGTAACTTTGACCAGATTCTCTATAAATACGAGAAATCAAGTTCCCTTCATGCATCACAAGCTTTACCTTACCATCCTGAGTTTTGACTGCTTTATCCATTCTGTCCTACATGGCACTCTCTCTTTTGTGTTTTGTTCTCTTTGCCACCTTTCTTTTCATGCAAACTTTGGCGGATACTTCATGCACTGATTGTTTTGTTCAATCTCGTGCATCATTTTACTCAAACTCTGAAGAAAATGGCACAGATGGTAAGAAAACTGATAAAACGAATGATAACAATAATGCAAACATTAAATTATATTTGTACACAGGTTTTCTCATATATATAATGCTCCTTTTGAATTCATTGCAGCTGGTGCATGTGGATTTGGTACCTTCGGTGCTACCATTAATGGCGGGGATGTATCGGCTGCATCAAGTCTTTATCGAGATGGAGTTGGCTGTGGCGCTTGTTACCAGGTTATTACACAACTATACATATATGATATATCACATATATAACACACCAACATTATTATTTTGTTAGTTCTTTCATTTGGTCCTTTGATAATCACAAATATAACTTCAAACATTCTGCAACTTAACATTATGCATTCTAGCTTCAAAAGTAATATTTCTCATTATCCTTTGCCAGATAAGGTGTACCAACGGTGGTTATTGCTCCGGCAACGGTGTCACTATAGTTTTAACGGACCAAGGCTCAGGCGATAACACTGACTTCATTCTTAGCCAACGAGCCTTTGGCAGGATGGCTCAGAGCAAAGATGCGTCCGCTTCTTTATTATCGCTTGGTGTAGTTGATATTGAATACAGAAGGTGAGAAATTCTTCCACACAATTATTTCATATATAGATCCGCTTTTTTGCCGTGAAGGAGTGACTTCACGCTATAGTTATTATCGTATGATTAAAAAGTCATAATTTTGAGTCGTGAAATTGGCCGCTTCTAAATCTAAGATAAGACTCCTGATAATATATCCACAATGAGTTTGAATCTTCTCTAGATCTACCATGGTGAAACATTATAGCACTATGTTGTCTTTTTTTTCTTGCATTAACTTTTCTTGTCAGTTAAATGTAAACCTAACCAAGGCCTCTCCTTGTTATCTCCAGGGTCTCATGTAGCTACCCTAACAAAAACATCACAATTAAGATTGATGAAAGCAGCAGCAACCCTCATTACTTGGCTTTTGTCATATGGTTTCAACAAGGAAGGAAAGACATAACAGCTGTGCAGCTCTGTGAGGTATTATCTACTTCTTTGTCTCGTCATAAGTTGTAATTTTGGTCAAATCTTTAACATGAATAAACTAAATTTTTCGTAAAGATAATTGGTAAAAAAATATTGAGTATTTGAGATTCTATAGCGATGTCCTATATTGAAACTAAGAAAGGTTCGTTGTTCGGTAAGTATTATTAATGAACTTGCCTTTTTTGCTGACTGCAGACTCAGAACTTTGTCTGCAAGTTACTGGATCGGAGTCATGGCGCAGTCTGGACTGCAACCCCTCCACCGAGTGGACCTTTGTCTCTAAGGATGCTGTTTAGTACTGAAGATGGAGACGATACATGGGTTGTTCCTGTTAATAACATACCAGGAGACTGGAAGGCTGGGCAAACTTATGACTCTGGAGTACAAGTAGACCAGTAGAGACGCATCAAAAAATTGTTTATTTATATGCTTTTATTAATTACCCTGTTATGAAATAATTAAGTAAATAAGTCCACTGAATTTCTCATATCATTGGTCACAGGTAGGTACTCTTTTGAATTTCATATCATTGGTTGAAAGGCTTACAATTTCATTCATCATTACATGTTTATGTGTACATCAAATAAACTTTAACAAAGGTATTAATATGATAAAAGAAAGTTCAAATTATGAACAATTGAATATATATAAATACAGATGTGAATATATGTGGTTATCTGATATCATTTTATTAAGGTAAGGTTGCGCTTTAGGGTCTGAAATCTGATACCGTACATATAAAAAAATATAAAGCATCATATAGATTTCTCAATCTTTATTACCCAGCTATTTGCTTTCACTGAAACTTATATTGATGCGCGATGTAAGATCCAAGACTCTCGTGTTCCAAGTATTTTCACCTGAGAAACAAAGTTGATAAAATGAACTATCACTGATTGATTTCATGTTAGATGCTTACTTATGCAAGATACTAAGCAAGTCATTCTTCTTCGAATAAATCAATTATCATTCACATATAAATCCGGAACCAAAATCTTTGGGGAACCAATCTGAACTCTCTACAGCATCAACTAGATCCTTTTGTTTCTTCACATCCTTAGAAATTCACCAGCATTCCACATCCATTCTGCAACTCACCATTCATCAGTGGCTGTCTCTATCCTGACATTTTTCCCCATATCCATAATTACCACCTCGATATCTCACTCCTTAGCACGAATTCTGTTTCTCTCCCAACAGCCTGTACTATAGAAAACCTAACATTTTTCTAGGTAGACATTTTCTTTCTCAGTTGAATCTCAAATGGACATTTTCATCTGTGCCCCTAATTCACCCAACATTGAGTAGACTATCTTTTTCCTCTCAGACCAAATCTCACTTATTAACAATACATTTCGATTCAAAATCTTCAACATGAACCAAGCTAGATGCTGCTTCTTTTTGTAACCCTTTTTCTTTCATCATCAATCTCACACGCTCAACATCATCCCATCTCCCTTGAGCCCCATATATATCAGACAGCAATATATAAGGACTAATATCCAGTGGCTCCAACTCAGCAAGTCTTTTCGCTACATTCTCCGCAAGCTCCAAGTCCAAGTGAGTCTTACAACCGGAAAGTAGAGCACCCCACAAAGCTGATCCACCTTTCACAGAAACCTTTTCTATAAGCTCTTCCGAGTTCTTCACAAAACCAGCTCGAGCAAGGAGATCAACCATGCAGCCGTAGTGCTCAACCTTGGGTTCAATCTTGTAAACACGACGCATGAGATCAAAGTACCACCAACCCTCCATGACCATTCCGGCATGCGAGCAAGCAGACAACACACAGACAAAAGTAGCATCGTTTGGTTTCTGATCCGCCTTCTCCATCTCTGCAAACGTTTCAAGAGCTTTGTCCCCATTTCCATGCAAACCATATCCCATAATCATAGAGTTCCATGACACAATGCTTTTCACCGGCATCTCAACAAAAACATCTCTTGCGAAATCCATAGCCCCACATTTTGCATACATTGTAAGAAGACAAGTCCCAAGCAAGACATCCTGTTTAATATTGTTACTCTTAATATAAGAATGAACCCACAAACCCAAACTCAGCTTCCCTAAATTTGCACAAGCAGTGAGAACACTGACCAAAGTAGCCTCATTTGGCATAGCTTCACCACTTTCCATCATCCTCTCAAACAGCCTTAAACACTCACCAAAATTCTTCACCCGAATGTGTAATGCCAACAAGGAATTCCACGAAACCACATTCCTAATACCCCCATGCATTCGATTAAAAAACTCAAGAGCAAGAGAAACATTCCCAACTCTCACACACCCATCAATCATGCAGTTCCAAGACACAACATCTCTATCTGGCATTATTTCAAACAGCTCCTTTGCAGCATCCAAATCCCCAACAGACACATGTCCCGCAATCATGCAATTCCAACTCAAAATATCCCTATCATGCATTTCATCAAACAGCTTCCGTGCACAACCTATTTGCCCAATCTTTACATACCCATCAATCATCGTATTATAACTCACCAAATCCAATACATAACTCGATTCAAACAGAAACCAAGCATCATTGATTCTTCCGAAAACAGAGTACATTCGGATCAACGAGTTTCGAGCGAACAAATTGAACTCAAACCCGAATTTAACAACCCGAGCGTGAGTCTTTTCTCCTTCTCGTTGCCAACCACTGTCAGCGCAGAGTTTAAGAATGAGAGGAAAAGTATAGTGATTCGGTGGAACCCACCTGGCGAGCATTTTGTTATAGTAGAAACTGAAAGCATCGAAGAAATTGGAATTTCGTAGATAAGAACGAATAATGGTGTTGCAGAGAAAAGCGTCGGGGTGGTGAAGATGGTCGAAGAGGAAAGCGGCGCGTGGGGTGGTGCGTGGATGAGAGCAGAGTTTCTTGAAGGCTCTGCTGGCGACATGAGAGTTTTGAAAGAGACCGTGGACGATGAGTTGAGCGTGAACTTGGTTGAACTGTTTGATTCCGTCGCATGATTCAAGCGCCGACAAAACATGTTCCTCGGAGTTTACCATCCATCGTGTGCTGCATGTCCATGCATGTTTTACCCTGACTGCCATTTCCTTTTGGCGCTAACATCAGGCTTTCCGTTGTTAGCTTTCCATGGATATACTTATTTTCGAATTTAATGGAAGGCTATTTATTAACAAAATAAATATAGAAATTGGAAGGTTATTTATTAACAAAATAAATATAGAAATTCTACTTTAATAAATTAATATTAATAGTCAACACTTTGATCCATTTAAATTTAGTTGGATACAATAAAATTAAACATAATTATAAATACACGTAAAATATCTTAAATATATTCATATGAGACAGATAAGGAATGAAAAAATAAAGTGAACAACGATAAAACAAATGTCAAATGATTTTTTTAATATAAAAATTGATTTTTTTATATAAATATTTAAAATATATTATTTTATTTTAAATTATAATTAATTATAAAAGATAAAAATTATTTATATTTAAATTAATGACGATAAAAATAGAAAAAAAGTATCAAAGTAAAATCTATAAACTTAAAAGTTATTTCTAATAATATTTATAAAATATATAAGTTCATGCTAAAATTTAATTACTAAACATGAATTTTTTTATGTGAGCTTAAAAGCTAAAAAAATTTATTAGTCTTGAAAATAACATTTCACGTTTTAATGCAGGTGGTAAAGCTTTTTGATTTGTTAAGTTGTGCCTTAAGAAGTATTCATAAAATTCCTAACTTAATGTTTGATTTTTTTAATTAATAATCTTATCAAGATCCGTTTATTGAAATTGTGAGAATTAATCTTTTATAAAACTCCTCTTAAATTCCCAATAGCCTCAGAGTCTATTTGATTTACCTTTATAATTTATTTTTTTTAAATAGATTTTATAAATATTATAAATTTTTCAAATTTATTTTTTATAAATTAAAAGACTAATTTTAATATCATATACGATAATCATACATTATTGAAAATTAAAATATAATTTAAATTGTAATTTTTTTATAAAAAATCATATTCCAAAATTTGTTTTAATAAAAATTATTTAAAATAATTTTAAAATTAAGTGATTTTTTTAAAATTTAATTTTATAAAAATCAATAAAATAATATTTTAATAACTTTTCAAATCAAAATTTAATTTAAAATTTTTATGAAAACAAAATTTTTTTAAACAAAAAGTATTATACTCTAAAAATTATTTAAAAAACAAAAATAAAACAACCTAGCCCTCAACATCTCTTTGATTCAATGTAAGAGGTGCAATAATATTTGAATTCCTCTGAATAATCTGCATAAACCTAGAGTGACTCACTTATCCTCTTCATTTCTTTTTCTCTCTATTTTCTTTATTATTATAATTTTTATGTATATAAAATCAACTAAATATTAATTATATGTCACTTGTCTTAGAAATGTGTGTTATTTACACAAAAAATTATAGTAATGGAGAAAATGGAGAGGATCATATCTCACTCACTACACGCTCTAAGTAGATGGTATACAAGTATGTCAAACATATAATTCTCAAGAAGTATCGCACATATACTAGGCGTGTTTAAAAATATGGTTAACTGAATTGTATATTTAAATTGAATTGTATTTTACCATTAAAAAACTGAACCACTTAAATGGTTAATGAACTGGACTATTTAATTAAAATAATTCAAATACAGTTTAAAATTGACTTAGAACTAATTTTTTTTTATAAACGGGTTTAATTATATAAATTAGTTAATTTTTAATTTAAAAAATACAAAATCAATTGAAAGTAGAAAAATATTTTTTTTTTCAAAAATTAAAAAAATAATTTTTAGAAAATATATTTTTCATTTTCTGAAAATTAAAATAAACAAAAAACTAATATCAATTTTTTCAAAAATACAAAAAAAATTGATTTTTTTCGAAAATATAAAAAATCAATTTTTTTTTCAAAATATTTATGTGTTGAAGCTATAGCTAATAGGACAACTTATTGGTTAAAATGTTGATTTTTTTTTATATTGTATGTTCTGTATATACTTATGACTTTGACAAATTCTAGTAGCTTCTATCTAATGTTTAAAGTTTGTACATGGTAGGCACATCATTTATTATATTGTATTCAATACTGTAGAATAATATATTTTATAATTTCTTTAAAGTTGAGTTATTTTCAAAAATATGAAAAAATTGAGTTTTTTCAAAAATATTAAAAAGTCGAATTTTTTTGTTTAAAATATGAAAAAAAATCGTGTTTCTTTAGAAATACAAAAAATTGAGTTTTTTCTGAAAATATAAAAAAAATTGAATTTTTTCGAAAATATAAAAAAGTCAATTTTTTTTCGAAAATATGAAGAAAAAAAGTCTAATTTTTTTTTAAAATATGAAAAAATTGAATTTTTTCGAAAATATTAAAAAATTGAGTTTTTTTTGGAAACAGGTAAAAGTCGTGTCTTTTGGAAATATGAAAAAATCGAATTTTTTGGAAAATATGAAAAAAGTCAAATTTTTTCAGAAATATGAAAAAGTCGATTTTTTTTAAAATATAAAAAAGCAGAGTTTTTTCAAAAATATGAAGAAAAAAAAAGTCAAGTTTTCTTGGAAATATAAAAAAAAAATTGAGTTTTTTCAAAAATATGAAAAAGTCGAGTTTTTTCATAAACATGAAAAAGTAGAATTTTTTCAAAAATATGAAAAAGCCGAGTTTTTCGAAAATATGAAGAAAAAAAAAGTTGAGTTGTTTCGAAATATGAAAAAAGTCGAGTTTTTTTAAAAGTATTAAAAAGTCGAGTTTTTTTCAAAAATATGTAAAAATTGAGTTTTTTAAAAAAATCGTATTTTTGAAAAAAAAAATTAATTAAAAGTATGATTTTTTTAAAAATAAATATTTTAAATAACATTTTTTTTATATAAAAAATTTTAAATTTTTATGAAGGTAAAAAACTTGGTTTTAAAAGAATTCAAAATATGTAATTGGTTTAAAATTGTAAACTAATTATAAACTAGTTTATAAATATAAACTAGTTTTAAATTAAATTGAAACCATTTTTTTATCGTTAATTGAATTTTTATTAAAATATTTATCATAAACTGAACTAAACCAAAAATATAATTCAGTTCAATACGTTCATGAACTATGAACACTCTTAATCTATACAATTTTAATGTACATTGCACTCTTATCCACAAAATTTATTGAATCAACCAAATACAAAAAATATTACACTCTTATCCACAAAATTTATTGAATCAAATACAAAAAATATATCTTGATAACAGATAGTATGTGATACCATGTATTGATGTTGTTTGTTGGGAGCCATCCCTATATCTCTAATTAAAAGACCGTTTCGAAACAAACCTTCATTTGCCCCTAAAATATAATTGTTCTTAAATATAAGATTCTCAACAAATTTTTATGAAGTTATTTATAAATTTTCAAATATATACTTCATTTATAATACTACTGATTTATATTGGAATATGAAAACTCAACATTGGACCCCTTAAAAGAAAAATAAAAAATTGCACCACTAATTCAAAAGGTCTTGAATTTGTTTTTTTGACTCTTGAGCCAGAGTAATGCGCCAGAGTTCGTACTTCTAGATGGATTGGTAACCTTCCTTCTGTAAATTGCAACAAAAATTCCTAGCAAGTTTTTCACAATTATAATGAAGAATATCTTTCAAATAATACTAAACAATAAATCAGTTACTGCTACGTCTCCACTTGTTTTCTATAATTTTTCCCACGCAAAAGCTATTGAAGTCTAAAAGACAAAAGAACCTTTACACATCTGAAGTAACCCACAACCCAAAACAAATAGCAAGAAGCAGAAAAGTTACAAAACTTTTTAAGACAACCACTTTTCAGCAAGCACATCCACCAGATTGAGGTTGAGAATCATGGCCGGCAGATGACCTTAGGTTCACATCTACCATGTCTTCTTGTTTTGTGGTAGAGAGTGTTTCCATTCCAGGTAATGCAGCAGCAATTTTTCGAAAGAGGGCCTGAATTAATAGGTTTGATAATTCAGTACAAATGAAATGTCTAAGACAAGTAGATATACAATAATGCAGCTATCCCACATTTGAACCATTTGAAACATCTCACCCAAGCCAAGAAAATGCAATAGGCAATGTAGCTTTCGTCTTGATAATTTCAAGCAGATATTTGTTAAATATATGTGGCAAAAGAAAGGGAGGGTTTACCTTAATATTAAAGCCGGCTTTGGCACTAGCTTCAATAAACATAACGTTTAGCTCCCGAGACTTTGCTTCCCCTTCCTCTGTGGAGACTTGCCTGTAGAATCATGTGAAGAATATTAGGCAAAAAAGAAGAGACAGTGTTAGAAACTCATTAGTTACTAAAGCCTAAAGCCTTGGAGAAATATAGGTCTCCCTCTCATAGGATATAAGACTGCTAATGTGTTGCACTTGTCTTAGGAAAATAAAGCATTGTCTCTGGATAATATTCATTATATAAGTAGCCTTCAGCAAGGGGAAAATCAAGTTTTAACAGTATTTCCAGGCAATGTTTGCAACCACACAGAAAGGGCAGAAAGCCATATAAGAAAACATTTTTACTGTCCTTGCTCCCTTTTCACCAGACTTATCACTCTCACATACACAAATCTCATAATTAATATATTGTAGAAAAGAAGAGACTGTAGAAAGCCCAAAAAAGTTCCAGGGCAATGCAGTCCTTCAGTAAAACCAGATTGCTCATTGTTTTCTCTAATTCAGCATAAATTAAAGGGGCTGTGCAGATGTCTAATGTACTGCTTGAGACGATTTTCCGTTTTTCTTAGAAGTAACACAAGAATTGAGCCAACCATTCTCAAGGAACTCTAGAGACAATTCAAGGTTTGAAATAGTGGCACGGTAATTATCACCTATTTAATTCAGAATTTCAGATCTTAATCAATGTATAACATGTTGTTCCATCCTTAACCACTAATTATCCTATCCTCCTTTGTATGCTTGATGGATTTTTCAATTATCTACAATCTACTGCACACAGAATGAAATGATAATTTGTGTAGTAATATTACTACTGTAATTGTAACTAACCATCACAATTTGTTCATAACTAACACATAAACTCTCACGAGGTGTGAATTAGACAACAATTATTAATTAGCAAAAAAATGCAAAAGGAGAGAAGTAGATAATAGAGAACAAGACAGCTATGCCATGAAACAGACCAGTATAAGCTATCTGTTTGAGTAAGTCCACAATTGATTACTCATTACCTCTTATCCACAAGGTCAGTTTTGTTCCCAACAAGAACAACAATAACATCACTTCCTCTCTCACTACGCACCTCTTCAATCCACTTTGATGTGTTTAGGAAAGTCTGACGACCTACATCATAAAAATACTGAATGATCAGATAGCAGTCAAACCACCCATCACAGTGTTCTGGAAAAGTGAACAAAAATTATGTGAAATGTGAAAATATTCAAGTCATCCAGAGAAATTTAAAATGTTGGCTATGGATAATAGGCAGCAGCTGTTGGAGAAAACAACTTCTCGAGAATTTCTTATTTTTTATGTGCCACTACCACCTAATTGGCAGAACACACAGAGGAAGACCACACGTTCTTTTCATATTCATTAATTCTTTTCCATTAAGAGTAAAATAAATTGAAAATTGTTATTTATTTCAAATCACACATACATATTTCTCACACAAACAACTCTTCCTTGGTAAGCTTTTGAAGAAACAAATAATGAAATTGAAACTCAAAACTCTTCCAATTAAATATTTTAATATATCAGCACAAAAATAAAAAAAACTCAAAATGACTGTTGAAATACTATTATAATAACAGTGTTTCTGCATGAAAATATAAATTGTCAATAAGAGAATACATGAAAAGAAATCATATTTAAATGTCATACTTGCAACATCATATACGATCACAGCAACAGATGAGTCCCTGATGTAGCTTGGAATAAGACTTCTAAATCTCTCCTGCCCAGCTGTATCCCTATCACACACAAGGAACACAAATTGAAGACTTTGAGATGAAAAACTAAAATTCAATAATCTAGTATTAGTGTAATGCTTATATATGGTAAGTAAAACTTGTCAATTAAACACATTAAACTTCATGGATCTCACTCTAGTTTATCAACACATGCTCAAAATTCAATTGTTTTTGTTAATTTATATTGAGTTTATCATTGGTTCTGTCTGATAGAGATCCACTCATGCTAGAATTGTTTGAAATATAACATTAGCACTCCCGTTCAGCTCTTCAGTTTTAGACCAAACTATGTGACCATTTGCTCACTCTTCCTGAAAAAAATTTCAAAATGGTCTAGCCACGTCTTACCATAACTGCAGCCGAACAGTTCGATCTTCAAGATACATAGTTTTTGATAAAAAATCAATGCCAATTGTAGCCTGTCAGGCAAAAAAAAAAAAAGTTGAGTACACAAGCCAGTATACACATTAAAGAAATGGAAATACACATGGTGCAAGATTTTCATAAGACAGCCTAGTATCATGATAAACTTAATATGCATGTATAAACATTAGAAGGAAGACAAACAACGTACATATTTTAACACATTACAAGGAAAACAATAAAAATAAGAAAGTAACTCTATGGTTAGAGTTATAGGAGGAAAAGGAAATAAAGGAACATGAATACATATATCAGAGTCCAAAATTAGCTCGTACAAGTACATCAGTGAGTAAAGAGAAAATTAAAATTAGAGGATAAATTTTTCAAGTGGGTCTGATAGAAACAGGTATCTTTATGAGAAAAATTAGGGATAAATTCTGTTTATTACATTATAGATTACAGAACTACAAGAGTTAGCACCTTCCAATGCTCAAAGACCCTTACTCTCTCAAATATCAATATACCTCTCCTTCTCATCCTTCTTCTAACTTACAGGCAAGCAGGAAACATGTCTTATTTCTCTAGTCATACTCCTAGTCCCCAGAAAGCCGGTTAATGAGGAAACATATTCTTACAACTTTAGTTTACAAATAGAAACAAAGCTAGAAGTTATAATCCCAAAATAAAAACACGGATCTCTACATAACCAGCTCACAACAAAACAAAAGGTATTGCATTGGCAGCCGAACTTGGTGAGAATTGATTAAAACGGTATTGCATTTGCAGTCACAGGGGTGGACATGTGGATAATGCAAAGTGCAATACCACATAACTGGAAGAGATTATAATTCTCCTCTGTCAAAAGAGAAACTCGACCCTTCTCTTCAAAACCTTTTTGGCAAGTCGACGCCGCTTCCATAACCAAACTCATCCAACTCTTACTTACTTCATAATTCCCCGACAAGAAAACATCTACAGAACTCACTATAGTCCATACCGCATCACTGTATAGTTCCATACAATCCGTTAAACAACCCAACACATAACTATCCAAACTCTCATTACCTAACAGCTTCTCTATCGTTGCAAGCGTGCTAGTCACATTCTCTAAAGCTAACTCCATCGCAATCACAGCCAGCCCTTGAAGATTCGTTGCACGGCTCACTGGAATCACCGGAAGAGCTGTTGAACATAAACTATAGCTCAAAATCATGGATTGGTTAGCACATTTTTGACAGGTTTCATCAATCATATCGGACGATGTCTTCATGGAAGTAGTAGAACATGTTGTTCCATGAGAGATCATAATGAGAAACAAGAAAAAAAGGTACAAAGTGACACACAAGAAAGATCGAGGCATAATTGAAATTGGTTAATGTGAATGGTGGTGCATATGTATATATAGACAAGGATTTCAAAAGTACTTTATAGAGGAAGTTTCACGCAAAAAGAGAGTAACGTTAAGCTTTCACATATTGATAAAAATGGGGAAATTTCCATAGATGTACGATAAACGCGATCTAATTGAAGGACGAAACTAGAACGGATCTGAAAAGAAGAAAGAGAAGAGAAAGAAAGGAACCTGATAGGTATTGTCGAATTTGTCGTACATGAAGCGAGTGATGATGCTGGTTTTGCCGACGGACTGATCGCCCAAGAACACCAGCTTGTATTTAGCGAGAGCTGAAACTGGCGCCATTCAGATTGAAACTTTCCGATTCCGATCCCGATTTGGTTAAGGAGGGAGACGATGCTACAGCAGATTTGCTTCCTGCTTCAATTCAACTGTATCGGTATTTCTTTTTCTCTCTCTTTTATTAAGTGCATGTACATGGATTTATTATGAAAAACAAATTTTGGGAAAGAAATGTTTTTATATTCCAACTACTTCTTTCATTTTGTTGGTGTCTATTGTTTTTCACCGGATTTGTTTTATTATTCCTTTTTAAAATATATACTTGCTTCTTTCCCATTTATCGGTTATTTTCTTTATTCCAGACTTTTCTTTTTAATTATATTTTATTAAAAGAATATATGAGTATTTTACAAAAATATTTGTAAATGTTCTGGGCCAACCTCACTAAAAAATCTATCACTCAATCTTTTCTCTTAAATAATTGTGCACAGTTTTAACGGCTTTCATATATAAAGTTCTTCACGAACCAATATTTAAATATTCTATTTATTCTCACATTCACATTACTCATTCATTCAATAAATTGGGCGTTGAAGTGTTAATATTACATATTCATCCTGCTTCGTTGTATCAAAAGCATGATTCACCGCGTTTGAGTTATATTTCACTTTGTCATCAATTATGTATGGTTCTCGAACAGAACATTGGCGCTATTTGTGAGAGTCGAGTTTTAATTCTCATGAATTTCCACAATCAAATCTTTCTAGTTCCAAAAGTAACAAATCGATACAACGATTTCACTCGAAAGAAGACAATGATGTTCGATCCATCTTCGGAAGTCACTATAGGCTTACCAACCGTAAACCATCCTCATATCTCGACATCTCTATAATCGACGGTGGATCATCTGCAAAAGGGAAATTAAACAAAAAAAAACATTTGACGCAAAGCTCTTCGAAATCATTGATGGCAACTAAAAGGCAGAAAGAAGACATATTTATCCAAGGGTTTCGAGACAGCTAGAAGATTTCATTCAAAATATGACGCGTTCATTGGTTGTAACTACTACTATAGAGAACCATTTGGTGTTAGGGGCTCCTTATTGACGACGAGAGTTCTTGCGTTGTCATGTACATCAATATCTTTACGAAGATAGGGTTACGCCATTAAGACCTCATAACATACGAGGGCATGAACCTTTTGGTGTTCAATGACTCCATCACTCGTCCTTGTGGAGCCGTGAAAGTTGTGGAATTACTAATTTCTGTGAGAGAATGGAAATATGAAAGAATCGTGAACGTGTATTTCTTGGTGATTCCTTGTGGAAACGTCTATAATTGCATCTTAGGGAGATCTTTCCTTGCAGCGTTAGATGTGATGGGTTATATAGTCCACCTGAAGATAAAGTATCACAACAACTCTAGGGAACTAGTCATCATTCATGCTTATCCACGCGGGGCTCATTTGATTCACAAAACGATATTAAAGAACCCTTGTGTGGTCGTACACATCCTCGAGAAGAAAATAAATAAGACTTTTACATTAGTCATTTACCGCAATTGACCTTGATATACGAGAAGATGAAATTCTGCAAGACGACAAACTTAGCTCACCATCAGAGACCAAATCAAAAGCCTAGAATTGAAATACCTAAGCATGCAAATACTATGGACATTAAATGCAAGAGTGAGTGAGAGAGAGAGAGGGGAGAGAGAGAGAGAGAGAGAGAGAGAGAGAGAGAGAGAGAGAGAGAGAGAGAGAGAGAGAGAGAGAGAGAGAGAGAGAGAGAGAGAGATGACACTAATATTTATAGTGCTTCGGCATTTGTCCTAGCTTTTCCTACATACACTTTTCAATGGTTTCCTATTGGAACATGCATTGTTCCGTTTTATATAACAAATATTTGCAAGAGTTCATACAATCAACAATCCACAATAGTGCTGAGAAAAATAAAATCTCCTATCAGGATCTTGACTTATATATAACATAATGCCAAAGTCCTCTATGTAATCTTTACTCGATTAATGCTTATTGAATATCCCAATATACCAAATCTGCTTCAAGCCTTTGTGTGTAGCAATCAACCCCTTGATCATACTAATTTCTTGAGTGATGAATTTTTCGAATATTTGAGAAGAACTCCGCCTTATCTGTAGCCTTCCACACAGTCATTACTAAGGAAATATGGAGAGAGAAAACCTACTTCTTTTTAATGGAATTTGTCAGAACTATTGATAATCACCTCAATCTATCAAACCATCTGAAAATCTCAACCAAATCTTCAAGAACGATTAGTTTCAAGAACTCACCTCCTTAAATCAATTACAAATCTCTCGTTATCAAGATCTGGATCAAATTGAAGTTGAAGATGTAAGAATTTCGTTGCAAGAAATTTGAACTTTAAAAAACAGAGGGTATTAATTTTTCATAGAATCACAAAATAATGAATATGAATTTTTTTATTCACTTACATGAGAAATGATGACAAAAAGGTTTTTTTATATGTGTTTGAGATTAGGCACTAAAAATGGTTGAAAAAGTTAGTTAGCTTCGAATCAAGAGCATTTCATGTTTTAAATCAAATGAACAAGTGAAGTGGAATAAAAGAAAAACATAGTTTTGAACCATTTTCAGTTGATTCAAATCAAAATAAAAGTATGACTCGAATTAAAGACCCTTTGATTTGAATCATGTGTCAAATCTGATTTGGATCAAACAGGCTGAGCTAACTGAAAAATGTGGCAAAATTGTATGATTCGAATCAAGTGTAAAGTTTGATTCAAGTTAATTGTGACAAAGATGACATAAAGTTTCATGATTCAAATCATGTGTAAAATTTAATTCAAATAAAATTGTTTGAAAATTTCTAGTTTTCCTATGTCCTAAATGATTCGAATCAGGATATGTGCTTGATTCTAATCAAACACCCAAAATCCCAATTTTTCATAATTTTCAAAATACTTTGAGATTTTTCTTTCCACCTAACTTGAATCAATCTTATATATGGCTCTTATTCCACTGACTTATGCAATTAATTGAAAGTATCATGATCAAGTTCAAATTTAACCAATGGTTTATGCATGCTAAAATAAATCATTTCAAAACTTGATCTAGAGAGGTGCAATTATGAAGGAGACTCAATAATTGAAAGTGAATCAAAATGAAAGCGGTATGATAAGTAGCAAAATAACCATATTTGGGTGTTTCCCCTGAATGTATTAGAGACATGCAACTACAACGTGCTTTCTTTGAGAACTTTAGAGAAGCCCCATGCCCTTATACAGTTCATGCTTGAGGGATTGTGTACATGTCTTATCTCTTAGACGGGTTCTGGAGTGGACCAGAGTCGACCCATACCTACTAGAGTTTGCACCACTAAAAAAATTCAGAAGAGCGTGATTGAGCTAAAATAACCAATGGATCAATTGGTTATATTGACCCTAGTTTTGCATAGACCAATATTTGTTGAATATAAGATTTGTAAGGTAGTTACTGTTGATGAAAGATATTTGGATATTAGATTTGGGACAATCAAGTCTAATTCTTAATTTCCATTAAGAGGTTATAGAAATCAGGATCATTCGCTTTGAATAGCCTCTAATTAGTTTTAGTGCAAGGTAGATTTGAATCACTATAAAAAGAGAATAGAGCAAGAGAAACATTCACTCACAATTTACGAGATTCTTCAACTGTTGACTTTACTAATCTCCACTAGTAGAGCTATCATTGGTGTACTTTTACAAGTGCAAATTAAATAATGATAATACATCAAACTAAAATTTGAGTTATATCTCATTCCAAAAAGATATTTATCATCAAGGCATGTTACTCATTCGATAAAGTTTCAATCTATAAATTTTAAACAATCTCATTGGTGAATAATACTCCCTCTATCTTAAAATAAGTATTACAATTAAAAAATTATTTATTTAAAAAATAAGTATTAGTTTTTAGTTTTCGATACAATTTTCAGACCTTCTCATTAATACCACACACATCATTTTTAATTTATTATTTCTCACTTTGCATTTATGACAATTAAAACACATTAATATTCAAAAGAGATAATTTGATATAATTAATATTCTCTCTCATTTATCGTATTTTATTAATTTATGTAAAATATTTAAATGTGTTACTTATTTGAAGACAAAGGTTTTTAGTCCATCACGTTAATAGCAACAAGTATTGAATATTGGAGAAGCTTTCGTATGAAGCTTTTTGTTTTTGCTGCATTCATGCTGCCACCACCATGGTTAAACCATCAGATGGAGCGACATTTTATCCTCCAAGACCGTCATTCTAGGATATTCTCGATGAAGGCCAATGAGCCACTATTATGAAGGAAGAATGAACTTAATTGAGAATGGGCTTATGAAAGTATTTCTTTGAAATTCTGACACCAGATGTCGAGACAAATGTCACAACACTAAGATCAAAACAGTTTGAAAACACAAATAAAAATATTGAGATTTAAATGACATAAAAATAAAAATAACATCCGCAGTTGTTAACCCAGTTCGGTGCAACTCGCCTACATCTAGGGGCTACCAAGCCAAGAAGGAAATTTACTATGATAGTATTAGTTCAAAGCTAAACTCACCCGTTTACGACTTCTTGCCTAATCTCTACCTTGTGCAACTTATACCTAGACACCCTCTAGATATGATATCCCCCTCTCACTTCCTAATCAGTCATATTCTCAGTGACAATTCAACAACAACCAATAATAGAAGTAGCACACTTCCAAGACAATATTCGGTTTTGCTTAAAAGCTTCAACCAAGAATAATACACTCTTGCTTAGAAGCTTTAGAATGGACAATTACCAATGAACAATCAGTCAACCTTAATGCATCAGAAGATACACGAGTGGCATGCAATTAACAAGCATTAAACCCTAAAGACCAACCAATACACGGTTAAACCTTATTCTCTAAATTCTTCACGTGTTGTTCTCTTCATAATAAGGTTGTATATTCTCTTTAAATGGCCTTCTGTTTGGGTTTGGGCTTCTTGAAGCGCAAAAACAACAACAATAAGTTTTAACTCACTTCAAAGCAT